AGACTATCAATTGTATTTTATGACAACCTCATTGTATTCTAATTCTTAAAGTATTAATGTATTAGATATTGATGGAAAGACGAATTTACTTCCTTCTAATCATCTTGCTGAGATTTTAACTGGACAAGAAAAATCTTGAGCCTGAACTCTCTTAGAAGGATTTTTTAGTTTGATTGGTTATCAAATAACAGTATATATATTTTCAGACATTCTATCATGAGAAAACCTATCTTCTACAAATATTAAACAAAATCAACTTGTCAAACTCTATCTACTCATTTATTAAAAAAACACGAGGAAAAAAATTTGATTTAATTTCATATTATTCAGGCCTCCCTAGAAAATTTTATTTTTACCAAACATTTTATATACATTAACAAAAGTAAAAAAAAAATTATTCTAGTGTTAATTATATTTAATGTAGAAATATATATATGACAAATAGAAAATTATATCCGAAGACAAAATCTTGATAATTCGATATCGATTCTACAATGAGGAAAACATTTTTGAACTAAACAAAAATATTACTTTTTCTTAATGTATTGTTTTTTTTGTTTTATTTACATACCAATCGATTTTGATGTTTCTAAATTTTGTGCCCATTGTAAAGCATCAATATGATAAAAGTATCCTGATTGAATATTTAGTCGAACTAAAAATAAATAATAATTTGAATTAATATTATAGACAGTTCTCAAAGTTATAAATTTTATTATCTTATTAAACAAGAAATAATCATCTTCTTCACGTTGAGTTCTTTATTTTTCATGTAAAATACCAATGCTTCGTTTGCTTTTTTAATTCGATATTGTAACTGATTCTTATTCTTGGAAGATATATAAAAAGGAATATTGTATAGATAGTGATAAATGAGAAAAGAAAATCATTTATGGAATGTCCCACATAATGGGTGTGGGTGTGACTATTCTCTCACAGATACGCCCACACCCCACACCCACACCTATATCCACACCCACACCCACACCTACACCCACCCACACCCACACCCACACCCACACCCACCCACACCTACACGCACCCACACACACACACCCGCTAAAAACTCGGTTTTTGACTCATTCTGGTCAGTAATCCCTGTCCGAATTGGCTATCTCGCCTAAGTTGGGTCTCTTATAACGAAAACTGTTCTAGAAAGAGGAAACTCATCATATTTAAACACATAAAATGATACCCGATTTTGACTGAAGCTGTAAGAAAAATTGACTTTTACCCGTGAGATTCCGACTATTTTTACACTAATGAATAGGGTGTGGGTGTGGTGTGGGTATAAGCAAAAAGAGACACCCAAGTCCACACCCATTCTTTCGAAATATATATTAAACTATGGGGACTAATGGTGAGGATGAGCTGTAAACTCCTAATTCCAACTTAGTCTTTAATCTTTTGAATATATACTGTATAAAAAAACAAAATCTAGATCCCTTATAGACTAAGTTTTTTTTCATTCTTTTATCACATTGATTTAGACATCTGTATAGTAGCGGATGCCAGTTGTTTTTCTGCTGAATTGATACAATGTGCGACACGATCAAATTTGCACTGACGACAAATGTCAAGAGCGCGTTCAAAACATTCGATGCCGATTTGTAAATTTGTTGCATTAGTTGAAATATCATCATGATAGCCGGGTATCATGCGTACTTTCAAATGATAATCCGCATTGCTGTGCAAATAAACATTTGATGAGATACCTGCATATTTTTTCCCAATTTCTATATACTCCTTGGTGACTTCAGCGCAATATTTTAAGATATAATTTTTATTGGTACTCGTATAATCCACGAATTGTTTCCACTGTTTTATATTCATCATCGAATCTTTACTTTTATCCCAAGCTCTGGCAATGCTTTCATAGCAGGACAATGATGATAATGCCTTTTCGTAGTCGCCAAGTATCTTATATATAGACGCTTGATAATCAAGACGCTCTGATGTTGATTCGATCTCGAGACTTACCCTATAGGATAGCAGTGCTAACTCATATTCGCATTTTTCCCTGTGAATATGACCGAGGGTATCGTATAGTAAGAGAAGAACATCATCCATGCTATTATGATGCGTTTCATTCTCATTATTCAGTGCTTTAAATAAATATTCAGTGGCAACGTCAATCTGCTCACTCATAAATGCCAATGAACCCATTCCGACATCATAGACGAACTGGTCGATTAGCAAGTTCTTTAATAAAACATCATAATAGGTCGTTTTGGTAATGTGAAATGAATTATAAGTTACGGGTGGGTCGTTTTGTTTTTCTTCGTCGAAAATATCAAAAATACAAAACCCGATTGCTCTTTCTGATATGATGCGTGCTATGTTAATGAATTCCATCTCCATGGAACTACATTGTTTCGACTGAATGTCATCGTTATAGCGCCCATAGCTGAAACAATCGCTGGTACTCCAATTTGTGAGATTAATAAACCATGTCTTTTCATTTTCATTATATTCTAAGCCATCAAGATATAATAATGAGTTAATCGTAAATAATGTTTCTTGTTCTGATGGACAAGAACTTAAATGTGTAACATCAGCATATTCTTTTTCCATAGAATTGAATGTACTAGGTAATAGTTGAATTGAGAAAACAACTGATTGTAATTCATCATCTTTTTCATAAAAACCACTGCCAGCGAATATCAAAGCAGTTTGGTAATTTATCGTTGTTGAAAAAAAACTATTCAACATTACTGGACCATAAAGACTACCAAGTTTCTGTAATGTGTGTATTTCCTCGAGAGTCATGATTTGTCCACGATAGTATTGCTCAATATGAGTTCTTGGATTTTCACCTTTATAGTTGAGAGATATTTGATTGTTTAAGTCAACAATAAAAAAATGTAAGCTTGTCATCATATCAATGTTTTGTGCGCGTAATGCTTTATTGAGCAAACGATAAAGAAAGGTATCGCGTGTGTACCACCAGACAGCGTTTTCGCTATTATAAGTTCGTTCGAATTCTGCAATCATTTCTAATATTGATGAATTACCAGTATAATATCGACGAGTTTTTTCTAAAAATATTTCTCTTCCGTTTTCATTCGGTATCCTCTTACGTAATACGTCTATTAAATATGGAATAGCTCTACTGCTGGATTTTTTATCTGAATTAAAGGTGAGTTCATGGAATTGAAGATTTCTTTCAATAATTTGTGGTGATATGTCATAATTTCTCGTAAATGTTCGAACATCATTTGATAAAATGCCGCGTAATTTATCCAGATTTGTGTATAAACCTGCTACCTAAACAGAAGTACTGATTTCAAAATTGTCTGCTCTATATAGAAAAAGAATGAAAACTATGTGTGAAACCCGAAATTATTTGGCAAATACCTCTTGACTTACTTTCAGAGAATGCAAACCTGGAACAGTCGATGATGCTAATTTTGATGCCGTTGACTGTTTGTTCATGAACCTAGAATGTTTTCAGAATAATGTTAATAATCACAGTGTTCCTTTAGTAGTCTGTCTCGAAAAACTTCCATCAAGAAAATACTGCACAAAACCAAGGCTTTTCTTCACTTCTCTTTTAAACACTATACAACATTTCAAATGATAATCAAGTACTTACAAAATAGTAGGTGTTTGAGAAGAGTTCAAACTTCTGAAACAGATTTTCTGTTATCAATTTATTTTACTTACTCATCTGCACGTGTTGCTGCTGCCATTGAACTTTCTTCACAGGTGTTATCAAAAATATATATTCTGCAAATTTGACGCAATGTACCAGCGTATGCCACTACTTTTTCTGACAGTTCAATGTCAGCAATTAAAAAGATAATTTCATCATTGATCCTTTTTACATGTTCTATGCAAACATCGATATCGTAGGAAATTTCGACGAAGTCAATGGCAGAGCGCCAATGCTGGAGATCAATTGATTGATGATGATTCGATAGTGATTTTAAAATAATCAATCGGCATATTTCCAAGTTTTCTCTGTGGTCAAGCATCAGTACCAGATGTGTGTCTTTCGATTGCTATAGTGCTATAAAGAAAGTGATATGAAACTTTTATAGAACAAAATTATAAAAAGTAACTTAAAACTACAAAGGGGTATTATTTATTTTGTAAAGCCACACGTGCCAATAGGCATATTATCTTATATGATATCTGTACTTTCTCAGTGTGTCCTTGTATAGGCAATGTTTCGTAATGTTCACACTAGTGTAACTATTATGTTTATTCATGATTGATTGAACCTTGTTCTCTTTCTGTTGTAACGCACTTGTCATTCTATACCAATATTTGCTCGTACATTATATGTCTTGCTCTCGCCTTGCGTGACACTATACTACTTCTCTATATGTGTTCTCCCCTTGACCTGATCATCTCTTATTCTACTCGTGTATATCAATGCATCCTTCCAATGGCAACTAATGACTAATCACCGACGGCATAATCTTCGATTATATCGTTCCTCTTTCCTTTTTCCTTTTTGTATTGTAACATTTATTCTCTCTCTTCTCTTCCATCCTTCTCCTATATAAGCTCATGTTATGTGTGTGTAATAGTGACATTTGGATGTAGTGCACTAGTCGAATAAACATCATCCCCATCACTATGAGATCAAAGACAATGAATGTGCCTCTCCATTTGTCCGATTAACGAAATTATATATATATATATATTAAAGAATTATATATCTATATTTATATATATTTTTCGTTACACCGAACATTTAAAAAAAGGTGTTTTTCAACATATTTTCCCTTGTTAGAAATCTTCGGCAAATATCTAAAGAAATGGAAAAAAAGAGTAAACTGAATTACGCTTCGACGTCTTTCTGTTATTTTTTACCGATAAATGTAACGAGTAAAACTGAAAACAACTTGGGGGAAGGAAAAAAGTAAAAAGAAAGCGTTCTTTTTGGCCTTGTCACAAGTTGAGTGTTCTCGACAATTAACGGAATACATAAAATAAAAAAAGCGTAAACTAAACTACAGTGCACCTGAATTTTTTTCCTTTAGTTAAATATGAAATTATATGCATTAATATGTAAGAGCAAAGCAATGAAAAGAAAAAGTCCGATTGAATCTTATTTCAGATTATACGCATAAGACATAATTTGCAATGAAGTCTGAGATTTCTAACACTGTATTGAGTATTGAAGAACGAGTGAACGACAGTATAAAATAAAAATTACAAAAGGGATGGGGAAACAAGTGAGCTGCTCTTCTATTTCTGTTAAAAAGAACTTCTCACGACGAAGAGCAAATTAAACTAGATTTCAAATTTTTAATAAAACTTAATAGTATTTTCAGATTTGATATAATGCTAATAGAGAAAAATAGCCTATTGGATCAAGAGATTCAGATATCTCAGACGAGGGTGTGTGTGGGTGTGTGGGTGTGGGGTGTGGATGTGGGTGGGGGTGGGGGGTGTGGGGGTGGGAGTGGGGGCGGGTGTGTGGGCGTGTAGTATAGAATAAAATACCCACACAAGCACCCACACCCAACAATAAATAATCATTTTTACCGTTATGATCTTTACATATTCTTCAAGTCTGTTTCACTGCAGTCGATTTGCGTTAAAATTATGAAAATTGAGCTAAACTTATCGAGCAACAGTAAGAGGCCTGATTTTTTTTCAAGAATCATATTACTGTTTATTAGGTACTTTGTTTTTTTTCTAAATTTCCATAATTTTCTGCTTAAAGTATATTGTTTATTAGATAAAATGAAAAATTGTTTTTCACATTTTCTCAGTTCCTGTATTTCCTCGATCACACATCCATAAATTCATAAAGGAGTCTCACTGCAGTCAATGCGTATATTTTGGGGTGTGGGTGTGAGTTTGATTGTAATTAGAAATAAGATCTACACCCACACCCACATCCTCAAGATAGGATATATCGGTCGAGTATTTTCAAAGAACAAAGAAAAAAAAATTCCTGCCGTTCTTTCGATAGTAGTCGAATCTTATTTTCAAAAGATAAATGATGCATATGTAGCGACATGCAACAATAGAATGAAACTGAATTGTTACATCTATTACACCCTTGCGTATATATGTCTTTTCTTCTACAGATACTGTTTATTTGCCAATTAAAATTGCA